ACTCGACCAACGAGGCAGTCAAAATTAAAGAAAAAAAATCATAATTGCACAGTATAAATTATGTTGTGACTGAAAGAGAATCAAAATCTTTCGGATTTATACTATCAGTAGACATATTTTTAACTGACTTCAAAAAAAGGAGGTTCGCAGTTTGATTTGTGTGTATGTATGTTTGTATGCGATTATCCTGCGATTGGCTGAATAGATTTTCAGTAAATTATTCGGTACACTTGACAAGAGGGGTGAAGATTGCAACAACTTCCGTGAGACAGACCACATTAAAGGTACATGAATAAAGTTTCTTTGTCAGAATCAGAAATATTCTGAGATATTCAAGAACAAGAACATTCAACTATGAAGCGGCATCATGGGCGCTGGGCGCTGGGCGCGTTTTACTGCTGACGAACGTTAACTTTGATGTTTATTTAATAGGTACCAATGAATATTTAGGAATATGTACTACAGAATACAAAGTTCATAAGACGAAACCGTCTGTGTTGGCATGAGTCATTCAATATAAGAGTTTAAGGTTTTATGTAAAGACTATGATTGTATTCTTCTAGTTTTCTTTCTCGTAAAAAGGACTCTATTTTCACCCGGAAAATAATAAAGGAAGGCGTGCCATCATCATCGCCTTCTGCATGATTCCCACGATAAAGAGGATAACCATAATCTGTGTCTAACGTTTAAGGAAATTGTGACAGTGTAAACCGAAACTGAACTATAAAAATATTATACAGAGATACACTTTTCAAATAAAATGAGATTACAAGCGTAGTCGTGTAAAATTCAACCAGTAAGAAGTTGAATTTGTCAAAAATACCGTGCCAGAAGGATTGGGACGTTGAACCGACGTAGCCGGTGATAATGGGTACAATAAACATTGGCGAGGAGATCGTGCTCGAGACAAACTCACTATAAAATATCCGGCTTATTTGCTACCGCCGAAGTACTGGGGTTCGTGATGCTTACAACTTCTAGACTTCTAAGTACTATCAACATTTTTACGATATAACAATATAGGTATTCACATGTTTCATCTTTACGACAAACGTCCCCTATTCTTTGTGACGTCATAACCTATTTCTATCCGTATGATTTACAAACTGAAAGATTTTTTTTTTACTTTATATATTGCGCTAGAGTTATATACTTATTATTTATACATACTTACAGCAGCGAAATAAGTTCATTACCGCTGTTGTACGCCTCTCTGAACTCTTTTATAGGGTTCTTTGAATTGCAAAATTCATAGGATTTCTTTCTCCTCTAAAGGAAGAGAAGGAGAGGTAAAATTAACCCTGTCCTTCGGTCTTTTCCTAGTAAAATTAGGATGGTTCTGATCCTAACACATATATGTGTGCACCTATTCATTTTAAAGGACATTGATATTATTTTAGTAGTAACAAAAATATTTACAACTTAAAATGTACTACAACTAAACCTATGACTGAAAAAAATAATAAAAAAATGCCCTTAATTAAGCGTAAGTACTCATCCGCATCACTGTCACCGCGGAACGTTCCCATTAGACTTGCAGCATAGCCACGTTGAATGGCAATGCTTATTTTCTGTCCAAAGAAAGAGCCAGCCCTCTGATCACGTGTAGAGTCGATCTGCCTACGGGCGATTTCTTTATAGACAGTAAGTGCACTGGGATCCCATAACCCAAGTGTTTCGACCCCGAACGGCTCAAAACAGTAGTTACCCACCAGATTTTGAGGGTCTCTGCCCCGCAAGAATAGTAATTTTAGTCGTTGAATTTCCTACTACTAAAGTCTTACATAGTTCGTGCGATCATAAAATGATTATTCTCTCCAGTAATTGAAAAGTGAACAATATAATTCTGAAAAATGAAAATCATCTCTATTGCAACATAATAAAATTTTGTGACCAATAGCATTAGGTTCAGTACAATCTAATTTATTACATTCAAGGACTTACTTACCACTGATGTCGTAACGAAATATCCGTTAAATATTAAACAAATACATTTCTTCACAATATGTTTTGTGTGTTAGCAGAAATTCTTTGGATTTCACATTTGCACACTGTTATCAATACTGTGCATGTCATTTTTTATTTCAAAAGCGATCAATTGTCTAGTCGATCATATTGATTCGAGAAATAAAGTTAGTGAAGTGAGTCAGTCAGTATCTTCTACTTTATTCTTTGTTTTCTCTCAATGTTATATGAAAATAGTACAATATTCTGTTTTCACGTTTTATTACCGAGGACGGAGGAGGCATATCTACTAATATTTAGAATTCGTAGATATTTGAGCCTAACGTGCTACCCGAACGTATTGTTTATTTTGACCGATGCCGATGATTGGTAGAAAAATAATTATTAATGAATAGTCATAACTTTGAGATTATATATTTAGGCTTTCATATGGAATTCTTGGACTAACACAGATGTGGCCAAGTAGGCTCGTGCCCGATACAGAACCCCGGAAGACTTAACGGCTCCGGCTTGAAACACAAGTAGTAACAGGGTTGGTTTTTAATCAGTATGATTTTGACCCTCTGTCGCTTCACCATTAGATGATTTTCTCCCTTGAAAAAGCTTACCATTTTCTTGAGCCAACAACGACAGGGTGAATACATTGGTCATTTGCTTACCTCTTTCCGTCCGGATACTGTAAGAAATGCTTTGATGATGACCAAATACCTACTAAATATTTTCTTAGTAAAAATATCCAAAACATCTTTCGCACTTTAGCTCGCGGTGAGGATTAGTTCGTTTTTTAAGAAGGTATCTATATAAAGGTAGATGTTAAAATTGGTCAACATTTATACATCTATACGAATAAAAACGAATTTCAGTTCGTTAGTCTCTCTAAAACTCGGGAATGACTAAACCGATTTGGCTAATTTTGGTCTTGAAATGTTTGTGTAAGTCCAGGGAAAGTTTAAAAAGTGAGAAAATAATTTTAGGCGGTACGAAATTTTTTATCTTCTTTGGAAACCGAGTCCCCAATACGATGTTGTCGACTATACTGCCAGTGTCGGGTGGTAACGGCAGATTAATACAATTTTTGCTGTAAGACATCCGTCTGCATACAATCCGGAACTTAAATTATTGGGTGGAGCGTTTGAATGCTTACATAAAGTTTGTTGCCAATTCGTTTGCTCACAGACAACATTGATGGCGTAATGAAGTAGCTGTAATACAAACCTCGTAATTGTTTTGATATGTTTTTGAAATTAATGTCGACTTACGACATTGGTGAGTTTCTAAAATAATTTTAGTTGAAGATAGCGGTACTTTAATTTTAATGTATCAATTTCTGTTATTAAACACAATTAATTATTTGTCAATTAATTACTATTATTAATAGTTATTTTTCAATTAAGTTTTGAAAGTAAAAAAAATAGATACATTTTTGTTCACCTACCACCCATTCCCAGATTCTTTCTCAAAAATTCTATTCAAAGGTTGTCTGGAAGAAATCGCCGCTTGTGATAAGATCGTCCAATGCATTCAAATTACTATTACAATGTAACTCAATTTTTCTGTTTGTGCAATAAAGTATAAAATAAATAAATAAAATTGCTTTCCAAGTAATCTTGTGAAAAAAGACGATACTATTAAGTAGAAAAAAATTTAAATCTACTTACATGTTTAATGTAGGAAAATAGTCAATCGCTTTCCAACACGACCTTATTTAATTGAATTATTACTATAAATATGTTCAATGTTCATCATCGAACACACATACATATAAGTCGGAGGAAGCTGGGAGTTGATTGTTACTTGCATTGCATTGTAATTTTTGTTTGTTTTATTCACTTTTTAAAATGTCTAAACTAACTCAAAATGATTTGTCACACTTCAAATTCTTAATTTGATTTATTACAATTATTAATAATTCGAATTTGATTTCCTACGTAACGACCAATCAGAGCAGAGCACGCGCCTCGAGCGGAGTCGAGGCGCCATCTTACTGATGAAAAGGGAGACAGTTTTTTGGCGGGAGAGCATTAATTAGCTATCAGTCGAGTTATATCGTTTATGTGATTACTGTAAGATCGGTGCCCTGAACCCGCTGCTCAGTCCTAACTATCGACTTTCTTTTGCGTTATTGTGAAACGGACAACACTATTGTTACCATCTAAATTAAAATAGTGTTTATTGTGATCATTGTGTTTTGTGCTCGCATTTTACCCTCATGACGCCCACTAAGCCCGCAACCACTAATGACAATGTTTCTACGACATATATATTTTCCCAAGGATGTAAGTGCTAACAGGAACTTGATGTCATCAAACAAACGTTTTTGATATTTCCGCAATCTATCGAGACAATTGTATTTGTTTGACTGAGCCTTGACCTAATCGGTTGTTAAATTACTGACGTACTTCATGAACGACTATGAATTGTGATGATCGGAAAATGCTTTGTTTTTATGAACAAACTGCTTCTTATAAAACTTAATTAAATTCGTTACCAATTGTAACGCAAAAACGGCTGGATCGTTTTTCTTCATGTTTGATATGTTGTAAGATTGAGTATCAGCTCTGAATAAGAATATATAATTATATTTAGCAATACAAAGTACAAATTTTAATATACCTATTACTTAACAAAATGTGGTATTGAATACATAGAAATCACAATCACAATTGCAAGGTAAACCAAACAAATATATAGTTTATAATGCATACATACAAGTTAACATAAGCAATGGCATTTCTATAGTAGGTAGATAGGTAAATCTATGTATATAAAAACAATTAAATTATATTTAGAAACAATATGTAGAATAGCACTGTTATTAATGAAAAGTTCAAAGACAATATGAGCCATTCAAATGAACTAATTTCTCCACTCCTACAAATCTGAAGTGTTTTGAACAGTACGATCAAGCAAGCGAGGAAAATGTTAGAAAATATTTTAATTAGTAACATGCACAATTCTATATATAAATATGTCTTCTCTGTTCATTATATCCACTAAAAATAAATGAATAAATTTTTTTTTATTTTAATTACCAGGATGGCAGCGTCGCACATCCTGAGCGCTGTGGAGCCGACGGTCGGCGGCGGCAGTTCGCGCAGCGGCCGCGAGAGAGAAGTCAACGTGGCCCTCGATGACAGAGAACTATGGGTGCGGTTCCAGACTCTCACCAACGAAATGATCGTCACTAAGAATGGAAGGTAAGAAATAACCATCCAAATAATATTACTATTATTATAGAGGTGAAAAGTGTTAATTAGATATTATTCTAAGTGTGGGAGCCATGCTTCGGCACGAATGGGCCGGCTAGACCGGAGTGATACCACGGCCTCACAGGAAACCGACGTGAAGCAACGCTTGCGTTGTATTTCGTCGTGTGAGTGAGGTTACCGGAGGCCCAATTACCCTCCCCTTTCCCAATCTCCCCAATCCCTGAATCCCCAACGATCCTCAAACTCCTAATCCCCAAAATGCTGGTAACGCACTTGTAACGCCTCTAGTATTCTAGGTGTACATGGGCGACGCCAATTCCTTACCATCAGGTGATCCGTCTGCTCGGTTACCGGTTTATGCCATAAAAAAAATTTGTGTGTCTTACGAAAGTTTTAATAGAAAATGTGGATTGTTCAAATCGCAACAGAACATACTTTGTTCAAAAATTTACTTGATTTTTGTATCTAGAGACAGCTAAGCTGGTGAGTGTTAAAAGAATCGTGCGGGCGAATCCACAGGCAGAAGGATAGACAAATTATATACGTAGAAGTAATTATCCGCTCGTTGTTTTGGTTGCAGTTTTTAAAAGTTTGTGATTCATGCATTTAAATTTTCCACAAGAATCTGTCTACAGCTGAAAATTGCATAAAATGTGTTCAGTCGTTTTTGTATTTATCGCAAACACGTATACGGAAAGAGTATTGCTTGCTTCAAAAAAGACAAAGTGCGACTGGGGTTTTTAAAAATTTTAAGTGCCGTAAAGTGCACCTCTGCCTTCCCCTTCGGGGATATAAGGCATAATGTTATGTTATGTTATTTATCTAAATCTAATAAATTAAAAAAAGCTTGTATGAAATAGTAGTAGTACTTGTATAAATTCGTTTTCAAATTACTTGGCACAAGTTATCCCACTATGGACTTTTCAATTTGTTACCTTATAGTTTTATTGAACTGAGAACTGAAATATAAATAATAGCTTTAAAATATATGAATGATTTGCAACGCATTAGCAGCATGGTGTTATATAAACAACTATTTAAAAAGTAAACAACGTTTTCGTCATAATTACATTAGAGTAATATAATACAATGGCTAGACGTTACAGAATGTGGCGTGGCTTTATTTCTTTGGTGCAAAGTTTTTGGCAATTTACGTAGTACACACAGTCAATCACATAACTGAAAACCCTTATTGTATATTCATCACCCTTTTTAGTTAGGATTTTCTGTAACTAGTTTCAATTCATCTTTGTAAAGAGAAGAGAACTTTGACAAGTACTCAATTCAAAATTTGATTGATTTATGAATGTAAAAAAAAAGTTATTTTTTCACACTTATATTGACTGATTTTGAATTTAAACTGTCAAACACCAAGCGGTCACCGGTGACCGCAACCTATTGTTCTATAATTGTGTCTACAAAACCGGTACTCGACGAGTTAAATAGAGTTATTACATTTGACGCTTTTCATGTTACAAAATATGTAGAATAATATTAAGAATGTAACATTCTTTGTTTTATAGTCTATTTAGCCTGCTTAAGGGATGTGAAGTTAAGCTTAGGTACATTTAAATAGAAAAGGAATAGTTGTACATAATTGTAACCAATAATAATCCAATTAAATTCAAATCGAAATTTAATACAAATATAAAGCTAGATATTTTATCTTGCTTAACAATGTTAATTATATACTCTGTGGTCAAATGCTATATCTATACTATATGAAATAAGTACAATGAGGGCCGATTTTTCAATCATCAGTTAATTCTTACCTGTAGAATAAAATTGACATTTGACAATTTCTAGTATGGAAGAATCTCGGAACAATAACTAGGCATGGAAGCCAGGCTAAAATAGTAATTTACAAACGTATATCTGATGCTCTCGCTCTTTACACAATTTTGCGTAGGCGAGAATGAGACCGCAAACTAAACATAGTTCTATAATAATTTGCAGGTTGTCACAACTTTCAGTGGACTCATTACAATCTTATGTCATTGGACTTATTCAGCATACTACCAAATTCAAAATCACGTTTTGACGTTCTATGTTTCACAGTTTCACTCAAGTTTGACACCTTCCTCACTTTGCCGGATTATAGTACTGAAGTGTCACCGTGGTTGTATTTACGGCTCCTGATTATAAAAAATGTTTTTTATGGAATTAGCGCAAAAGAAAGGAAGAAAGGAAGTGTATGGTCGTTCTTTATTATGTGTTTTCCTTAATAAAAATACGTCTTGTGTGATTGACGGCTGCAATTCACATTTAGGAAGAAAAGAAAACAGTGGTGAAAAAATACACTTTCATTCGTAAGTTTTTGATATGTTTTAAAATAAATTATATTGGAAATACCGGTAAACTATAAATAAATGTTACTTATTTATTGTCGTACTTTTCAATTGTAAGCCTAAACAGTATTATTCCATCTTTTCCTAAAAAATCTAAATCAATTTTCTAAGTCAGTTTTTAAGCTAGTGATGTGGTCATGTTACATATCGATATTTTAGTTAGGCTTTGAAGTTCTTTATAGTATAGACGTCGTTTAGAACCCGAATCACATGATACCTTTGATGATTTGACAGACCACGACTACATTTTGTACCCATCATCTATTACGGAATATTCTAAAAATGTCATAGAATACATAATCGGCTTTATTGGAAAGAAATTAAAAAATCTTTACAATGCGAAAAATGCATAGAAAGTCTTGAAAACACGGAGAGTATTCCTTAAAGATCTTTGATATCTTTAAATATAGAGGTAGAAGAGGCCTATTTAAACCAACATATGGCTTAACCAAGATCTGTCAGCTGACCGAAAAAATTATAAGAGAATATCAAGTGCATATTGATTCAAAATCTCTCGGTAAACCAAAATAATTATTAGATTGATTAATAAAGTTTCAGCAAATGTGTTGCCGTCAGAAAATTTTCGAGAAAAAAAAGATTATTCATTAGAACAATCTTTCTATGTTGATCACAGAAATCTTATAAAGTCCATAGCACAAAAATATTTTAAACTTAGGATACATTTTAACAAAGACAATTATATTTAAAAGTCAATGATAAACACATAATAGTGCACCACTACCACGGTTTGTAAA